ATTGCTATAGTTTTTCTAGAGTGAATGGATGAGTAAAAGGCTTCTTTGAGAAGTAAGAGATGCTCCCTTTTATAGGCTTTTCGTAAGCACTTAATAAGGAAACGTTTTTATTTGGTTTTTAATATTGATTTGATCCATTACGTTAAAGGGAAAAAAACTAGTTTGACACTTATTTATTGGTTAATTACTAGAATAGCTCTTATTTGATTTTTATTACTAAAAAAAATCTCATGCCTATTATACCCTCAAATCTTTTGTTAGAAAAAATTATATTTACAAAAATACCATTATCAAAAATTTCGTAAACAAAAAATAATAAAAAAATTACGGTTTTGCCATATCACATACTTAATTTAAAGTGACCACAGATTTATTTTTAGATAGATTTATTTTCTTTTGACCACAGATTTTCTTAAATTTGACAGATTTATAAATATTTCACATATTTACTAAACAGATTTTTTCTTTTTGGCCATAGAATTACTTAAGTTTAATAGACTTAATTAGCTTTCAATAGATTTATTTTTCTTTGGCCACATATTTTCTTAAATTTGACAGACTTTATTAGTTTGTCACCGATTTATTTTCTTTTGTCCACAAATTTACTTTATTTTGACAGATTTATTAGTTTTCGATAGATTTATTTTTTTTACCATAGATTTACATGATAGATTTATATTCTTTTGACCACAAATTTATTTTTCTTTAACCATAGACTAACTTATATAGATTAACCTAACTCTACCGATTTGGCTAAACCAAATCGAACAATACCATATTAACCGAACCAAACCATTTAAACTGGAATAAACCAAATTTTCAATTAAAAAAAAACAAAAATTAGGGTTTGATATTGGAGATGTCGTGTGTGTTCTCTGTCGACTTCTCCCTTTTTAGTCTTCATCTTCATTTTTTTAACATTTAGTATTCATCTTCTTCTTATTCTTGATTCTCCTCTTTTAAAAAATATATAGTGCTCTTTAATTTGATTTGTGGTAAATGGATGCTTCAAAATAATATATGGTTGTTTGGTGTTCACTAGATTCATTATCAGAAAATGAATATTATATTCAAAGCTTGGAACTTGGAGGATAGTAAAAGAAAAAGAAAAAAACCAAGTTACTCAAATTTTGTGTGAGTTACAGAAAATATGTTGCCAACTCGCTCTCCTTGTACTTCATGTCCATGAATAACGACGTGATCTGATGCTTCCTCTTGTGAAG